GGGGGGGCACAGAAGCCGCCCCGCAGGCAGACTCCACAGTTAGGGGCCCGAGGACGAGGACTCCACAGTGGTGGCAGTGGGGGGCAGCATACAGCTCCCATTTTTATTTGCCCTGGGGTCCTCATCATGCTGGCTCCCTATGGCTCCCCAGACCTTCCCAGGTCCAGGCGCCGTAGGGGTGGGGTGGGGGGTTAGGAAGGGTTGGGCGGTTCTACAGCCAGGAATTAGCTAGACCTCATTACACATCCCCACCCCAAAGTCACTGACACCACCGCAGACCCAGGCCTGGCCTGAGCCCCAGGGCAGCTGGCACCCCGTGCCTGGGCATCTCACACTGTGGCACCCCGCAGCTGTCCCCAGGGCCATGACCCAGGCAGGACGAGGGACGCCCGCCCTTACCCCCGAAACCCCCGCTATGACTAGGACTTGGGGGCAGCACAGGGCGCCAGGACCTCTGAGCACCCCAAGGAAGCGCGGCGCGGGCGGGCTCGGGCAGGGCAGGTCAGAAAAGTCTTGGAGAGGGCTGGAGGTGATGGGGCGCCAGGCGCCTGGGGTTCAGGGGGCCGGCGGCGCCAGGTGCTCGGGGCCCAGACCCAAGCAGGAAGCCTGGAGTCAGGGGGTCCCGGGGAGCAGCAGGGCAGGCGGCCGTGCCACCCCGACCCTGCGGCCCCCTCGACTCCCGGCCACACTTCCCGCAGGGACGCGGCGCCCCAAGGCTCCTGGCGAGCGGCGGCCCACGCGGGCTCCGCGGCAGGCGGCGGCTTGGCCGTCCCTGGCTGTGGGCAGAGGTTCCCCGGGCCGCGCTTGCGGAGACCTGCTGCCCCCTGCAGGGCGGGTCCGGAATCTCGGGGCGCCCGCAGACCGCAGGGAGGAGCACGACTGCGGGGCTGGGGGGCAGTGGGCAGGAGCTCCGACACCCCAAGTGTCACACCACCCAGGCCTGTCTTCTCCCAGGCCTGCACCCCTCTCTTGGCCCTCGCCCCCACCAGGGCCATCTAGCTCCACCCGCCTGACCTGACGTTTTGACCCCTCACGGAGCCAGCTGGGGCCAGGCTCGCGGGAGTGGGGTGCTCCGCCCACCACAGGGATAGAGACCCCGCCCCGGGTGGGCCTGTCCAGTGAGGCCTTGTCAGACGCTCCCGCCTGCCAGGCTCTCCTGGGTGTCGTCTCCCCCAGAGCTGCACCCGCGTGGAAGCCCGTCTCCAGTGCCAGCAGGCACAGGGCAGGTTAGTGGGTAGGTCGGTAACAGGTCCAGATCCCTGAGGCCTTCTCAGGCTTTCGTGAGCTTGTTATGCCCCTGTGGGCAAGCTCGCAGGCTGGCAAAGCAGAGCAGCCCGAGAGTAAATCGTTGCTCTCGTCTCCGCGCCCTCTGGCGTCCTCTCCTGGCCTCCTCCCCTCGCGGCCGCCCGCTGCTCTGCTCGTGTTTTCTGACTCCGCCTCCCGGCTCAGGTGCACACTCCCACATGCCCGCACCACGCTCCAGGTGGCCACCGGAGGTGCGTGTGCCTCAAGCCCACGCTCCCAAGTGCCTTCTGCTAGCACAATCACGGCTGCAGGTGATCGAACCAGAGGCCAGCGGCGTAAAAGCCCGACCAGTCCCCATTTGCACTACACCTGCCCCGGGCGCTCTGACCACCCGGGCTTGAGAAGGAGCAACGATAAACTGGGCCTGCCCTTAGGTGGGGAACATCAGCCGTCTCCCCCGGGCCCCCTGCCCGGTCAAGGACAGGAACGGTGTCTTTCCTCTGAGGGTCTAAAAGCCTTTTGCTTTCCCACTGTGCCTGACCAGTAGAAACCGCCTTATCGGAGACCGCATCAGCCCAGGGCAGACTTTCCTGCTGGGCTCCCCAGAGCGCCTGCAGCCAGCCACGAGGCGCTTCAGTAACTCGGACCCCCTCTCAGGTCAGAGCACAGCAGAGGTGAGGACTCTCGTGCAGCAGCTGCCGCACAGTTGACGGGGAGGTGCTCTTTCCAGATGAGAAGCCGCACGCCGCGGCCTTGTCCACTTGGCCGCGCAAAGGAATGGCCGCAGCCCTGACCAGGAGACGCCCATGCAGCGATCGGGGCGGGGTTCCGCACGAGCAGCACCCAGCCCAGGCTTCTTCAGGATAAAGAACTTTACTCTTCAGGCCTCATGTCTCCCTGCTGCACGTAACACAAGAAATGAGGAGGCAGGCTGGGCAGAGACGAGAGCAGAGGGGGGTGGCCCCAGGCCTGGTCAGCCTTAGGGTGGGGGCTGGTCAGCTCCTTGAAGAGCCGCAGGTTGGACTGGGGAGCGAGGCTGGGCTGGCAGAAGCGGGGCCTCCTGTTTCAGCCGGTGACCTTTCCGCTGGCACTAAGGCAGCCCTGGCCCAGCTGCCAGGGAGGTGGGAGAGGCCAGGCCTGCCACTTCCAGTAAAAGGCGGGGTTTGGACACAACCACATGCCTTAGAAGCCTCGTTGCTATCAAGAATGCTACCAAGTTGATTAAGGCACTTGTTCTTGGTTACCCCGAGTTGTTCCTGACAACTTGACAGTTGAAACCAAGAGTGAGTGGAGTCGAAGGCAGGAAAAACAGTTTCTAGGTCCCAAATGCCACCTCCTCTGGCACAGAACCCCTGCTTCTCCTCCCCACAAGGTCGGGGGGAGCCAGGCCAGGTCTCCAGGGCTGACAGTCACCGAGCCAACCCTCCACTCTGAGCTATGGCTTCTCTGGTATCAACTTCACAAAGATTGGCGTTTGGTTTCAAAGTCACCGAGCGTCAGTAACCCCCCGGGCCTGGCAAGCTCCCCCGGAGCTGTGCAGACGGCCCTCCACCCGCAAGCCGGGCCACCCTTCCTCTGTCTGGGCCTCGCCGAGCTGCGCCCGCCGGTGCCAAGCTGCTCCAGTTAACATTTGTGTCAGTGTTTCCATTATAAAACGCCTTTTTCCCCTTCAAGAATATATGACCCAACTGCTAAATCACCCTCCGGGCCTCAGGCTGGCAGGCACGGCGTTATTTCCTCTGCCCAGACGGGGCTGCGGACCCGCTTGGAAGGCACCAGGCTCCACCTTCCAGGTCCCCCAGGACCAGCACTCCTTGTGCACCAACACAGGCCGTGAAGGGCCACCCTCTGCACCACTCATCCCACCAGGGGAGGGACTGGAGCCTCAGCCAAGGACCATCAGCCTCGAGAAAGGCTACCAGGGTGAGCCGCTCAGAAGAGGCCTAAGAGGGAAATCTGCTGCTCCGAAGGGCCGACAATCTGACGAAGTCCTGATGTCCCAGTGGCCAAGGAAGGGGCTGGAGGGCATCCAGTCACAGCTCCCGCCAACACAGTGCAGTCGCCCAGTTCAAAATATCCTTGGTGACAGCTCTCAATGTCCAAGAATCAAAGCACAGCAGCTTTACAATGTAGGAAAATTTAATACATACTATATAAACAACATTATTTACATCAGAAATCACTAGGACAGTGGCATTTTTCACAAATATAAATTAATTACTGTTGACTCAACAGGTTTTTAAAAGTCCACAATTTTACAATAAGGAAAAACCACCTGTCCCAGACGAGTGGGTGCAGATGGACTAAAGCAGCCTGGACCCTTGGCCTAGCTCTCCAGCCCGACTCGCTCGCCCTCAGCACCGAGAAGACTGCTAGGGCCGGGCCCGGGCCACCGCTCCCGCTGACAGTGGATATTGGTCTGTAGGGTTTCAGTGTGTTGTGTGAACTTGTAACCTGCACCGCGTCCTGATGCAACCGTCACGTCAGGCTGGGGGTGGGCGCGCTGACCTGGTCCGCCGAAGGGCTCGAGGAATGAATGGCTGGAAGGAGAGTGGGCCAAGGGCGGGTTCCTCCGGAGCCTGGGGCTTCCCGGCCCTGTGCCGGGGCCACGGCGACCAGGGTAACCCTTGTCGCTTGGGTTTTAGGTGATGCTACTGTCCTTCGTCCTCCGCCCCTGCGGTTTCCACCCAATACGTCACCCCGCTTTCCAAAGCCAGTTCTGGGACTCACCCCCAGGTGCGCGGGCTGCCGCCCCTCCCCCCGCGCGCGTGTCTACCGGGGCCAACTCCTGGTGCTGCTTAAGCACAGCTTTCAGACTGATTCCGGATCAGTGTGGACGTGCCTCCTTTCCCCGCCCGTCTCAAACACTTCAGCATCACAAAGGGATGCTTTTATGGGGATACTGTAGTTATAATCAATTTAACACTGATCTGGCTGATAATGCCTTTTGCTACATCGTATGGCACTCAAAGTCCTGAATGTGAACAAAAGGAAGTTGCTTTTTCCTCATGATGAGATCTCTCTGGGAATCACTCACATCTCCTATCAACAACTTCAGAGAAAAAACCCTGAATCTGCACCAGGAGGGCAGCGATGAATCCCGCTGCTGCCTACCCTCGCCGCGGACACGCCCTGGCTCCCTCAATCCTACCTCTTCTTGGCTGGGGCAAGACTGTATTTTCAGGGTCTGTATTTTTAGCATGAAGCTACCCTTGAGGTGTAAAACCCAGCCAGGACTTTCCACCTCCTCCAGCCTGACCACTGGCTGGGGGGCCCCATGGGCTCTGCTACCCGAGGAACAGCCCCAAGTGCCATGAGGAAAACAACAGGGTCGGGGTGGGCGCAGCCTCCAAACACCACGCACAGGGACCAAGTGTGCTCCCCTGGGGTGGGCAGGCCACTGAGGACACAGTCAGTAAAGGCGCCCATAGTGCCACCCAGGGTCCAGCCTGTGCATGACGGAGAGCTCACCCACTCCCCACCCTCCACCAGGTCTGGAGCTGAACCGGCTGCCCCCTCAGCGTGTGCACCCTCTGGGCCTGGACACATCAGCACACTGCAGGCACGCTGTAAGCTCAAGTCAGTGAGTTGGGCTGCGTCTAGAAAGGTCTTTGGATTTGCTAAAAATACTGACAAGAGATATTTGAAAGGAATGAAATGGAAGGTCCCCAAAATCAGACCAGTGGGAAGAATCTTGGATGGGCACAAGTGACTTCAGCCCCCCCCAGCCCTATCCAGTGTGACCCCAACTCTTCGCAGCTTGGTCACCTGTCCTGGATGGCCTGTTTTGGAAAAAAAATTTAACTTAGATTTATGCTTTCCCTAAGAGAAACTGAGTCTAACGCTTTTCAACTAGCAGTGGACACCTGTTGGCCATGGCGACTTAGCTCACCCACCCACCTGTGAGTGAGCAGAGGGAGTTCTCTGTGAATACTTCAAGCTGTGCAACAGGAACTAGAATGCAGTGGGAAGCGACACTGACCACATGCCCCTGGCACCCCTCTCTGGAAAACCACCCCCCTCCCCCGGGTGTGCCTGCCCCTCTTCCTCTGCAGGCCTCCTGGTTTCACTTCACAGCACAAGGCCCACAGCAGGGACTCCAGCTCCCCGGCCACACTCCCACCTGCCCGCCCACCCCACTCACCCTTCCCAACCATGGAGCCCTCTGCCTAGCTTACAGCACTCACATTAGGTGCGCTGGCCCCACTCCCCAAGCGCAAAAGGCCCCTCAGGAGACTGACCCTTTGAAATGTACAGATAGGTGGGGAGGACGGGTGCTGGCAAGAAGAGGCTGTTGTGGGGGTGGTTTCCCTCTCCTCACCCCAGCCCCACCCCTCTGGCACTATAGGGGCCTCATAATGTGGCCCGAGTGTCACTTTTCCCAAGAACATATCTGAGGGGCTGCTGTCCCCCTTTAAGTCCTACAGCGAGACCCCACCACTCAGCCCATGCCCCGCTCCCCCTCAGCCCGTCTGTCGTGGCAGTGAGGCGCTGTCCAGCTGCCCTGCAGCCTGAGCACGTGCATGCACGCAGGCCCATGCCTGCCCACCCCACGCCGTGTCCCAGGTCTACCAATCCAGCCAGAGAACGTTCACAACACTAAGATCCTTCCTCCTTCAGTGGGGACGCAACCCGGGAAGTGGGTACACAAAAGCCACCTCTTCCTTCTAGCACCCATTCGAGACGGAGGCCAGAACCAAGCCGCACAGGACAGGGTTGCCAGTGTAGGAGTGGTGACCCTGCCCAGATGGCCCAGACCATAGGCCCTGCTCTGCAAAGTGCCCCTCAGCCAGCGAGCCGCCGTTGCATGTCCAGAAACTCCACTCACTGGTCCAGATGACTGGCTACTGTTGGATCAGACCAAAAATATCCAGGTGCTTAGTGACTCTTGCTCTCCCCTTCTTTATGAGCTGTCTTTTATGTTTTTCGAACATTCCAGTTATAATCTGGGTTGTTTTTCTGTTCTAGGGATCTCTCCAAAGGAGACCGATGATCCAGGGGTGACTTGGAATCGTGAGGCGATTTCTGAGATGGAGGTGAACGAGGATCTGAGACAGCAGGGTGTAAGGGGGGCAGAGGCTGTTTATACTCCCCCATTTTGTCTGTGTGGAAAGAGCGGTAATGGTCTGAGGGTCCCTGGCCATGGTAGCCCATTGGGGGACGGTGGTCAGACATTCGTCGGAAATCCTGCTGGTGGTAATTCTGAGGCCGGAAGTCATCGGATCGCCTCCGCTTGGAGTCGTGGTGGTGCCTGGAAGAGAGGCGGAGGTGAGCGAGAGCCCGACACCAGTCCCACCCTTCCTCCTGAGCCCACTGGTCCGCAAGCGAGCAGGCTGCAAGCTTGTGTCACAAGAAATAGAAAAGACAAAACTAAAGACAACAAAAGGCTATTTTATATTTCTTGGCAAGACACAGGCCTGAGCCACACCCAGTCTGTGACGAGACAGGGTACACGCACCCACCAAGGGCACTGCTCGGTCGCACGACCTATAGGCAAACTGGCAAGAACACAAGCGTTTCCAGTCTCTGACCCAGCCCAGGGGAAAGAGAGACACAAAATTTGTTCTGTAAATTAGTAACAAGGAAAGTCACAATTAACCAAAATACTCACCAGTAAGTGACTGACTAATTAAATTGTTTTAAAAATGCATTTAGTGAAGAATATTTAAATTCTTTGTCAGGGCCACTGTAACTGCTTGCTCAACTATGAAAAGACAACTGGCTGTGTCAACGGTAAGAAGGCATTCAACCTGGTTAAGCATGTGTGAACTGACACTTCTCCAAAGATGCACAAATGGCCACTGAGTGCTCAGAAGATACTCAATGTCATAGCAACTCGGAACTGCAAGTGAAAAGTGCGAGGAGATGCCACTTAGTACCCACTAGCATGGCTACATATACATATATTTTAAAAGACAACAGAAAGTATGTTGGAGATGTGGGAAGCTGCAGTTCTTGACCTTGCTGGGAGTCAGTGACATGGTCCAGGTGCTTCGAAAAAAGCTTGGAAAAAAGTAAAACTGAACAACCATATGACCGACAGTTCCACACCTCAGGACACACCCAGAAGAAGTGAACACAAGTATTGATACAACACTTGCATGTCCACTTCTACAGCAGCATTATCCACTAAAGGATGGAAGCAACTCAAATATTCATTAATGAAGGAACAGGCAAACAGGATGTAATACACAGAGGCAATGGAATATTATTCGGCCATGAAAGAAATGAAGTATAGTCATGTGTCATGCGATGATAGGGAGCTGTTCTGAGAAATGCGCCCTTAGGTGACTCTGTCCTTGAAAACGTCACGGAGTGTGAACACATGAACCAAGACGGTGCTGCCTACTACACACCTGGCTACGTGGCACCACCATCACATACACAGCCTGCCCTTTACCAAAGTGCCCGGAGTGATGCACGACTGCGGTGAGACAGGCCACAATGTGATGAACCCCTAAAAAGGGCTAAGTGTTTAGAGAAGTCAGGAAACTCTTCCTGCACCAGTGAAATGGACCTGCAAATGGCTCCCTGGGGCCCAGAGAATAAAACGGTACACCTGTAACATGCGATTCAAGGCTCCTGCTCCCCACCCTATCCAACCTATTAACTTTTCTCAGCATTCCTCCTGGGGCCTGCCCTGGACGCGAGACTAATTCTTTTCTCTCTGCTTGGTTAACTCTTCCGAGAACAAATCAGTCACAAGCATTCCGTCTTCCCACAAGCCTTTCCTCAGCCTCAGGAAATACGCAACCAAGCCCCCTTTAAGCTGCCTCCTCAGTAACGTGCAGTAACGTGCAGCACGGTACTCCTCCCAGGCCTCAGAGTGACATGACTGTGTGGCTGCTATTTCCCCTATAAAGCAGCAGGGCAGCCAGCAAGCCCCTGTGGTACGCCCATGAACTCCAGTCCACCATCACAATACCTGTCGTAATAATCTCGGTGGCCCCGGTGGTCTCGGTCACTGCTGTACTGGTCATAAGGTCTCTTTCTGGACAGGTTGTTGGGCCGGTAGCTCCCAGAGCGGTGGGTGTCCATGTGCCGCCGGTCCCCATAGTGGTGCTCCTTGTACCAGTGCTGCTCATACTGGTGGTGCCTGTCACTAGCCCACGGAGGGTTGTTGCTGCCTCCGCCATAGTTGAACTTTCTTTCCCTCTGCCAGTCTCCTCGATCTGCAGAAAAAGAAAGTGATTTCATGACTACAAAAATTAGTTGGATTTTACTCCCACAGAAGTTTAAATGGAAAGGCTGAGCCAGACTATAAATAGACAATTAATTTCCTCCTTCTTGGCTTCTTTACTATTTGTTTGCATACCAATAATGAGTCTTAACATTTTAAGGCAAAAGAAAATTCACCATCTTTCCCTTTCTAAAGCTTTAAGAATTGTGATTTTTCATTTCCCACACCTGTTTTCCTTTCACCATGGGTCAAATTCTTAAGATTTCACCTCTCATCAAACAAAACAAAACAAAACAAAACAACTACACCCAAATGTTAACTTGGAAAATGGCACTACTAAATTTTACAGCTGCAGGTAATGCTCCTGTTTCCACATCTAAAGTTTATTTACATGCTGGTGCGTAAGCTGTGCCTGGTCTCTGAAACTCTTTCTAGACTATACTGATTATCATTCCCCACTTCACACCTGGGCCCCCCACCCCACCCCGTATAAATCACTTTCCCTCACTCGGCTCCACATCAACTCTCAAGCACAGGGCCCAACTGAAACATGTGAGCTTTGATAGCCTCCTTTCCCCTCTGGGGAAAAGAGCTGCACTTATTTGAATCAAGAAAGTGAAATCACAACGGTCCAGAAATGGAGTACAGCATGAGCTGAACTGGGGACTTGGAACCCGTGCCTGTGATTTTCCTTGGAAATAAAGTCTCTGCAGATGTAACTAAGCCAGGATTTCATGATGAGACATTACTCAGGTCAGGCCCTAACCCCAATGACAGACATCCTTTGAAGAGAAAGGCAGAGGGAACACAGAGATACAGAGAGGAAGGCCACATGGAGATGAAAAAGTGACTAGAGCCATGTGGCTGTGTTCAGGAACACAAATGTTGGCTGCAGGAGACCTGGAACAGAGTTCCCTCAGGGTCTCTGGAAGGAACCAACCCTGTCGACACCCGAATGTCAGAACTGTATGAAATTAATTCCCCTGCTGTGTGATGCCACCCAGCTGGTGGTGCCTTGTTATAGGCAGCCTAGGAAATAAACAGACTTAACCAGGAGAGCTATGTGGCCTCCTGGGAAATCCATCTTCTATATGCAATTAGGTTAAGGTTAATCATATACCACCAGGCAAATGTCTCCTTTGTTGGCATTCTAGCATTTTCCTATAAGCAAAGGGTGGTGCCATCAAGAAACCTATGCAGTTCAGATGTTTATACCATTGAAACAACATGAGTCAGCCAGTGACTGATCCAGGAGAGAAACAAATGGAAAGTTGGGCCTATTCAACCTAAGGATCACTAATCAATGACAGCCTGAAAGGATCATTTGAAAACCAAATGGAAAGTGAGATTTCAAAGAGTCCATGGTAAGGCAGAGAAGCTGAAATTCAAGCCAAGTCACTTATTTCCGAGAAACCAACAGTACTATCCATCTGGTTTTTTTCTTCATGAGGCAGGTCACTGGCTAGGAAGTACTGACTAAGGAAACGTGTGAGGAATACAAGGTTTAAACAAAAAACTACAGTTTGCTTAACAAACAGGGTTTTTTCAAAGGATCAAACAATAAAATTAGCGTACTTATGACTAACAAAACCAGTCTAATACCAAGAAAAACTCAATACAATCCATACAACTGGTTCTAGGAGCAGGGAAACAGTTCCTAACAATCTGGTGCAGTTATTATCTTCTACCCCTCCATAAAATGGTGCTGAACTTCTTGGAGATTTTAAGAGGCGAAGACATGGAACTTCTGCTTCCAGGTAGTTTAGAGTGGTTTGTAAAGAAGAATGAGAAAGGTCAGGTAAAGAAAATATAATCTGCTCAGAGACATAAAAGAGTAGACAAAGTAGAAAGGACTAAAAGGAGTAAGAGCTCCAAGAGCAGAAGACCTACAGCTCCGAGGCAGAACACCCAGGCTTCCCTGGGGTGGGGGCACCAGCAGTCTCTGCCCTTCCTGGGCTACAGGTGCATTAAACACCAAACACAGGGCCAGTGTGCCCTCAGGATACTTGCCAGAAGGGGCAGAAGGCTAAAAAAGCTAAGCTGAAAGCCTCCAACACAGCAGCGCAGTGTGGAGCACCTCAATATGGGCCCAGAGACCCTGCTGAGGAGAGGCAATTGCCGTGAGGAGCTAAGCCACAGAAGAGGGTGGCCAGAGGTGGCCCAGTTAACGCGCCTCCCATTATTCCATGTGCCCAGAAGAGGGGAAGGTGAATCATCTGAGGGAAGGTACCTGGTGCTTCTACTGCTTGTAAAAACGCATGTATCACCACTTACTCAGAAACAATTAGGCACACCCACATATAGCTACGGGACTGAAATCAAGAGAAAAAAGGCAGACAACAGAAAATGACTCACAATAATTCAGAGACTATGTTAGCAGGCAAGGACTAAGTAACTATTTTTATGTTCAAGAGAGGAAAAGATGAGAAAACAGCTTTCCAAAAGCTTGAGTTTTACTGTAAGGCTGAAATGCGTCTTTTTAAAAACAACGGAAATGCAAACTGAAGTTTAGAAAGTAGTGCACTTCATGTTGACTATTATGGAATAGATGATTCTTTGTAAAGTCTTGGATTGTGATTCCACGTACACTACATATTTTTTAAGGACTTTATTTTTTCTTAGAAGAACTGGGGAGTAGGCAGAGCTGTGTATGGATTCCAAGTAGGTCGGTCAGACACATACTGTGTGATCCCAAATAGGCAAAATAGCCACAATAAGCAAATCTACAGAGATAGAATGCAGACTAAGGAGAGTAGCTGCTTAAGGATCATGGGATTTTCCTTGGAGAAATAACTGTTTTGGAACTTTATGACAGAGATAGTGGTTGTACATGAAAACACAAAACAACAATGAACTATTCCCTTAAAATGGGTACACTGGGTCTCCCTGTGGTGCAAGGGGTTGGGTATCCATAGCCACTGCAATACAAGTCCGATCCCCGGCCAAGGAACGACCCACATGGTGTGGCAGACCTCTCCTACCTCCCCGCTGCCCCCTCAGCAGTGGATTTCAATAGATCCAACTGTTCTGCTCCCCACTCTGTCTCTGGGGAGTCCTCTCACCCCTTGCACCTCTGGCCTCCACCCCAGTTCTTGTATGTACAAATCTTTTTTTAAAATTTAAAAATAAAATGGTTATATGTATATGAATCTTATTTCAGCAGACACAAAAAAAGATTTTCTTGTTGCCGTTGCTATCATTTTTCCCACTCTTAATTTTTTTATTTAAAAAAATCAACTTATTCTAATACAAAGCACAAATGTACTACCACTCATCTAGCCATTCCTCTACTAGTGGGCATTCGAGTTTTCTCCAGCTTTTTGCCACATCCTCATGCATGCATGTTTTGTTTGTATGGGACAGATGCCTGGAAAAAGAAATACTGTTGTGAATGGGCCTACATATTTAGATAGTTCTGATTATTATCTGGGAAGTGCAACGATTCAGATTCTGTAATGTATGTGTATTTCACCTTTCAATTTTTTTTAAAAAAAGATTTTGTTTGTTTTTGCATAGAACAACTGCAGTGTAGGCCAGATTGGGGGGTTGGATGAGAGGATGCACCAGTGACAGAGTGCAGAGCAGAGCAAATGGATTGACTGAAATACACTGCAGTGGGAAAGACAGGGAAGCAGTGGGCAAGACAGAGCAGTACTCTGTGCCATGTGGGTCAGCTCCGCGGCCAGGCTTGAACTCAGGCCATCACAGTGATAGTGCTGAGACCTAATCCCTAGGCTACCAGGGAGCCCCCACTTTCAATTTTTGATAACCTAAATGGAGAAAAAAAATTGGTAGACTTGCTGCTGTTTTAATTTACAGTTCCCTAATAGCCAAGTCTGTCTTGTCAAACTGGTTTCTTCAACTTCCTTTTCTCCATGGATTCCTACTCCTAACTTTTACCCATTTTATTTGGTTATCCTTTGTTACTATTTTAAAAGGGTTTGTTCAATATTATCACTGTAGTTATTTAGCTAAAAATTGTTTCCCTCAGTTTAGCATTTACTTATGATAACTATGATCTTAAAGCTGACAGATTTTTGGATTGTTATCTCGTCCTTTATCTGAGGACAAAAAGTATAGCAAAATATGGGAGGAGGATAAAGTACACAAAAGGTCCAGTTGCTTTTCTAGAAAGTGAAACATTCTTCATTTTGTGCCTCTTAAAAAACCTCCTTAATGACCTACCTGCGTTGCTGAAGTGTCTCTTATTGGGATGATTGTAGTTATCTCTGGGGTGTCCATGCATCTGTGGGCCATGGGAGGCAGGCAAATGAGGCTTCTGTGGGTGCAGATTGTGGGGAGTATGGGACTGAGACATCAGGGAGTCCCGGCTTGAGCCTGAGGCCTCTGGTCTAAATGGCTTCTTACCACCAATCACATCATCTTTCTTCTTTTGCTCCTGCAGGGTAAAAGGAATCCAGAGACTTTCAAGATCCTAGGTTGCACTGCCAACAACAGCAGAAAAATCATCCATCATCTCTAAACATTTCCCTCTTGGCTTCTCACCCTCTGCCAACTTCCTTCTCACCGAAAGATACCCCTAAATCCCACTGAGTTCCCACACCACCAATAGCCTCACAGAGCCCCACCTGCTGCGCTGACCTACTGTCCATGCTGACATCCAAGCTTCACCAAAGCAGGTTGGGAATACGTGCTGAGAGCTGGATGTCACTGCTGGGGCTGAAACAGCTGCTAGCACCCCCAAGAATGATCATGAGACCATGTTAACTGGAACAATAGAACAATCCACTCCTGACTAGTCCAGCAGCAAGAGTTTCTATGCCTAAGCCATTAAGCTAAGTATCTAAATGTTCAGTTAACACCCCTCCTTTAGCACACAAGTATAACATTCCATATCAAAACATCAGAAATAGTAAATGAAAAATAAGAAATGTACAAAGGGTAAAGTAGCCTAAAATCCAAGCATGAAGAGAATTAGAGTTAATAATCTTGTTTGTCTTTCTAAGCCTTGTATATGTGTATGTGTGCATATATGTGTGTATGTGTGTATTTCACACACACACACGTACTTTTATTAGAACACAAAGAACTTGGTACATTTTGCACCAATACATTGTAAAGATATTCTCATATAAATACTAGTTTCCATAATATTATATTTGTGGCTGAACAACATTCCCTAAGCTATCATGATCTACCTAATCTATCCCCTATTGTTGGACCTTGAAGTCATTTCCACTAGGAACATTTTTCAATTTTTCTCCTTTAAATTCTTAGAAGCGGGGCCCTCCTTGACACAAAAGGGGTTAAAGCTCAGCACTATGAAGCTGTCCGCAGCCACTGCTAAAGGAGCTCAGTCCTTGCCAAGGAGTGACCCACAGAGCGCAGCAGACCTCTCCTGTCCCTGCTGGTCCCCTCAGCAGTAAATTTCAGTCAATCTGCCTGTTCAGCTCCCGACCTCTGTCTCTGATGAATCCTCTCACCCCAGCACCTCTGGCCTGCACTCTAGTTCTTGCATGCATAAATATTTTTAAAACAGAAATAAATTCTTAGAAGTAAAACGGTGTTTTATTCTTTGATAAACCTTACTGGAAGTGTCCGCTATGAGGGTGGTGACCAATGTGCTCTCCATAAGATCACATCTCCTACCACTCATGAGTACCAACATCTGAGTCTGGACTAAAAGAGCCTTCATCATCATGCAACCAGCTTCAAACCTTCCTTCTAACTTTCATTCCCTCCTAGAGGCCTTGCCCAACTACTTCATTTCCTTCTAGGTTCCATCTGACCATTCTTTCAAAAACATTTTAGTATTTAAAATTTACACTCGCATCCAGCAATTAGTATATTATTCCTGTATGATGTGCTGTTATCATTTTCTTCCTAACATAAAAGATAAAATTAAATTTATAAACTACTTGAAGGTATTTCTTCAGACTACCCAGCGCTGGGCATGTAACAAATACTTCAAGTGCCTGCCCTGTGCCCAGCACCCTTCCTGGTGTGAAGAGGGCGCAGAGCTGCTGTGTCAGTGAAGTAGATGTTCAATCACCTAAACTGGACTTCAGTGGCTGGTGTGGCAGGGCCACATGAAGCCCGCAGGTGTGCAAACAGGTGTGCCTTTGAACTGGACACCAGTACAAAGCTCAGCTCCATCACGTAAATGCCCTCCCCCACTCCAAAGAAGAGGTTGTAACTTTTGGGCACCTCCTCACATCTGCTCCTTGGTATGAGCAGTGGAGACCCTGTGTAAAAGCAGGCAGATCACCAAGTACACATGACTCGAAGAGAACAGAAGAAGCGTTTCTGCCCACAATGCTGCCAGCTAGCAGGGCTGGTCATTTATAAGCTATGGTAAGGCATATACACATGGGACAAGAAAAGGTCCAGCAAACAAAGTTCAAGGCTTTAAGAATTCAGGGAAACAACCCCTCATCAGAATTTGAACACTGTGTGGCTCCAATACATTGGTTTTACACATAGGGCCCTACTGTCCGGCCAACAAGGACTGTGCTCAGAAAATGAAGTGCCAGCACTGCTGCTTGGGCAGGATGGCCACGGGGGCTCCTTGACCCCCTTTTGGACCTGGGATTTCACCTGTGAAACAAGGTCAGAGATCCAGCGACAACTCTAACACCAACTGCCTATAATTCTATGACCATTTCTCAGAGAGAAACCACAATTAAGGAAACCTGCTGGCTTCCATTTGTTTGTACAAATGAAAAATTTGTATTTTACCTCCTCTTCCTGAGATCTTTTCTTATGAGCCATCTTGTATAACTTATGCAACTTTCGAGCATCGAATTCTGTAAACTTGGAAACAAAAATCCATAGGTTCCTTAAAAAGAAAAAAATAACAGATCTGGTGAATTACAGAATTTTCAAGATAGCTTTTTATTCTTTTTATGGATAGCAAGCTATTGAATTTTGCTCTGGAATATTCTGCAAATATAGACATTAAATCACAGAATTATTCCTGTAGTTCTCAGCACCAGTAACACAACTTTAGATGCTACTGTCAACAGAGGGGACCTGAAGACAAGGTTCTGCCTCTGGGCTAAACGCCCTCTGTTTATTTCACAGGTGCCCAGTCCTACATTCTCCCATCTCCTGTGCCGCCTTGGCCCTCCGCACAGCAGCCTGTCATGTCACCACCCCAAGGTGGCACTCTGCATTACTACCCTTCTTCCCGTCACCACCAAGGCTTGTCACTTTGGCCTTAAAACTGCAAGGGACTTCTTCTCTCCAGTCCACAGCACCACCTGGCATTCCTGACACTGTAACTGAAGAAAAGCTTTAGAAGAGAAGCATGTGAGCAGGGGTAGGAACTGTGTGTCCTCTCCCACTTTTGTGAGTGGGGCTGGCCGGCCACAGACCGAACCCCATTCTGGCTTCCTCTCCAGCAAACCTAATGTATCACATGCACAACCACTTACCTTCCTCCTGGATCTTCTGTAAGAGGTTTTCAAAGCACCCTGACAAACTGCCTTTCAATCCTAAATCCTCTCAGTCCTCACTTCCAGGCTGCTGCTGAAGCCCGAGGACTCTTTCTCTGAGCAGCCCCGTGCCACCCTTCTACACCCAGCCTGTGTGTGCCTCCTGTCCTGCAAAAGATGCCTTCTCCCTGACTACTGTTCTGCATGTGCTTCCTCCTCCTCAGGGCTCCCATTCTTCTTGATCTTGCAATTAACGCATCATGATGGGCAGTTTCTAAGGCCTAGCAAGGGCCTTCTTATGAGCTACTGTTGACTATGACCTTAGCGCCTGGGAGACTCAGACACAGGTCCAAGCTCGGCAGAAGCCTAGCTTCATGGATCACATGTGAGGCCTCTTGTTGCCTAATAGGGACTAGCCCACATAAGAAGAAAGCCGGGGGGAGGGAGGGGCCTCGGTGTAGGAAGAAGTGGAGAACAGTACACAGGAGAAAAGTAACATCTGGAACTTCCTTTTTTTATGGACTGCATTGGGACAAGTTTCCTTAAATCTATTTTTCACTTAAAACCAAACCACAGAGATTAGACAAGGAATTACATTAACCATGAACACATGAATTCAGAACAACTGGATTATGAAGCTGATGTCAGAAGTGTCAGCAAAACTGCAATTGTAGTTTTTTGAATGTGAAATTTAAATATATAAATGAATGTACTAAACCATGATGCCTTACAAAACACAGCTCTGGATTAGCTGCACTGGTCTAGATTACTACCAGCATACTCTAATTATCACAGACAGTAGAAAACTCAGAATTCTGGGTTTTAGCCCTGGTTTCATATGATAGATTACAAAGAACTTATAGTTTAGTTACTAACTTTGAAAAGCAACCTGAGAGGGAAGTAGCATAGCTACTAGATGTTTTCTATCTCTTCTAGGGATAAGAGCTGTGTTTTTATTCGGAGAATGGGCCAGCAAGTATAGCAGCCCATCGTCACTTAACAACAATGACATCATTCTACCAACTGGCCTGAGCAAGGGACACCTATTTCAGAAAAATAAAATGGAGGCCTACAAGCTATGTCAGTAAAAGATAGTTTTGTTGGGAAATAGATTATCATTAGGTAGCCATACCCTCTTTTTTAGAAGGAAAACGAGACACTTGCCCCCAACCCTGCCCCCCACAGGTCACTCAATCCAGACAAGTGGAGGTGCAGGCACACACCTCCTCCACAGCTTGATGTGCTCCTGGTCCGAGTAGACTTTAAGGCACTCAGCGATCCGGTCTCCAATCTTCAGCAGGCAGTTCCGAGTGTGCTCCAGCTGTTCCTGCACATTGAGTCCCTTGTCAGGTTTGTCCAGCTGTTTTAGTGCCTTCTTCACAGGTCTCATCCTCTCCTTGCACTGGAACGTAATACAACAGAGACTTATGACATCTGCAGCAAAAATGCCTCCTTTGCTTACTATGCGCTAAATTCCCAGAGAAAACACAGCTGACTCTCCTGCTATATCATCACTGGAGGAGGAGATGGGGAGTCTGGGGACAAAAGTAGCCACCAGGGTCAGGGCAGGATAAATAATGCCTCCTAGGGCCTGAAGATCAGAAGAGAATTGAAAGCAAAATAGATTGAAAAATCTCCCACCACAGCTTTAAACAAACAAGTGCAGGGTAATGACATTGACAAGTCCTCAAGGCTTGTAGGAAACTGAGGGAAGACCTGCAGATAAACATGACTGAACACAAGACTTTCTCCCCATAAAAACAGAAGAGGGGTTGTCATAAGAAATAAGCCTGCAAAGACAGGGAAAATGGAGAAAAAACCGCAGCAATAAAAATCTTGCCTAAGTGGAAAATGACTCGGCAGATCTGAGAAAATGAAATCCTAAGCCAGCAGTGGAGAGAGCTGAGAACCAACCTGAGTTTACTGCAAAATTGTCCCAAAGTCCAGGTACCTCTGGAAGTAGTGGGTCAGGGCTAAAATAAGGATTGGAATTTTAAAGACTGCTTAATAACAACAAATATCCAGACTAAAATACCCAGATCTCCCATTCTACCCAACAAAAGATAGGGAAGTTTATACCGTCTCGAGTAAAAGAAAGGTCTCAACTGGGCTACAACTTGGGGCTAGCTGTGGGCAGGGCTTCTGCATTAACAGGGTTATTAGATTCTGGTCAAGATAGCCTCTGCCTCTCTGATTCCAGAATGAAGAAAGCTGTGCCTTCCCCTCCAGATTCTTCTTCATAAAAATCTGACAACCCAAGAGGAAGAACCAAAAGATGTTGACCACCCACTAGAAGTTTCCGATGTAGCAGCCCGGCCAGGTGAGCCTACAAGGATAGCTCTGAGTGTAGGCCAAGCCTTGCCCACATGGTCAAAGCTTCCAGTCAGGTAAGCTTGGGGAAGTAAGCTATGAGCAGAGCACCAAGGGTTACTGTGACTTTGGTAAGTATCTAACATGAGTAACAGAAAACATATTGAAGACAAATACAAAATATTCAGACAACTATAGTGGGAAATAACACATGACAAGGGAAATGCAAAAAGAAATAATGGGACACAAAATGGAGCAGAGCTCTCAGAAAGTTGAGTATAAAAGCAGAAATGAAAATGAAAAAATATGTAATTACGGGAGCACTCCCAAAATCCAGATCTCAAAATACAAGGAATTTATGAAGATTAAATTAAGAACAGAGAGAAGTATTCTAAAATAATTTGAGAAAATTTCTCAGAACATAAGACATGGTTGTCAGTCACTTAGAATTTGGCATAAAGAACTATATAGAGCACATGAAATTTCAGAACAATGAAAATCCTAGAAATTTCCATCATTTGTGACAATTCCTGTAAACACTAATCTGTTAATTTTTCAGGAATGGGTAAATATTTATAACGACTGTAACAGGGAAAAAAATCATTATGAATGTACAAAGGATTTTTAAAAATTATTATTTATGCATACAGAACGGGGGTACAGGCCAGAGGTACAGAAGGTGAGAGGATTCATCAGAGACAGAGTGGGGAGCAGATCAGGCAGATCGATGAAGTATACTGCTGAGGGGCGCAGCAGGCAGGTCAGGAGAGGTCTGCCACGCCCTGTGGGTCACCTCCGGGACAGGGGATCGAACTCAAACTGAGGTGGCCACAGCCAGCTTCACAGTGCTGCGCTCCAGCCCACTGTGCTCCCATAGAGGGCCCCATATAAAGGATTCTTACCAAAAATGGAAGAAAAGACAAATGATACAAAATAGCTATGGAATGGGAATAGGCAACCCGCTGGAAATGACAATTCCCAATAAATATGAAAATGAATGTTCAACTACACCACCAATCAGTATTTCATACCTTTCAGAAATAATCATGTATATCTGAGATTGGAACACAATCAGACTGGAACACAATCTCACTGCTGCCCTTTAGAGTGATGCAGCAAATTCTAATAAATTCTAATAAAATCTCAGAGGAACCCAGTATTTCTGCTCAAGCTATACACACCAGAGAAACTCTCACACATGTATAAAAAATATCTGCCACAATTTTAGCATAGCCTATTTGGTAACTAGTATATAAGAAACCCCCATGAGTAAGAGAAAGAAAGAATTGTCAGAGTCATAAAACCAAATAACATGAAACATTTTTTAAATCAGATAATAGCCCATATGGGTAAATCTCAAAACTAAAGATTCTGAAGGAAGAAAGCAAGTTACAAGACACACATGGTGTGGCATTTGTAAAAACCATGGAAAGCACGGGACATGCTGTTTACGGTACAATAGTTAAAAACTCAGGCTCTCAGCCAAATTGCTTGGAACAAATCTGCTTTGTATCTTAACGGTGTGATAGAGGACAAGTTATTTAATTTTCTTCACCTTGCTTTTTAGTATGTAAAATATTACCTCCCTCATAGAACTGCCGTGCAGGAAATATATATTAAGCCCACACACAGTGCCTGTCTGTGAGTTCTCAAGTGCCTTTAGAGACACAAGTAGAACTCTGAAGCCATACATGACAATGATCGTCACATCTAGAATCACGGTAACTCCTGGGGAGGTGACCAAGGAAAGGCATTTGGTTTAGACAAAGCGATGTTAAACACTTCAGCTTTGTATTCTGAGTCTTTAAAAAAAAAATCTGTATTTGAAAAAAGCTCATGGTATCACTATTAATGTTTATTATATTCCTGAAATTTTCTAGAGATTTTAGATTTTATTACATGAAAAACAAGAGTAAATGAGCTAATATGAGCCTTTTTAAATAGAATGGTAGCACCCAAAGCACCAAATCCCTTTCTCATGGGATCTTCCCAGTATCAATCTCTTGCTTCCACACAGCCCCATCATAGATGCACAAACTTTCCTGACTTCACCACTCCAACAATGTAAAGTCTTCAGCAACCAACACCCTGGTAAGTGCAGGACAGAACACAGGAAGCGTCTGAAGAAAGGTGGGCTCGGTGAGGTGTCTGAGAGTCTCTACAGAACAGACATAAAACCCATTCCCTAAAATTCCTCACTGGAGAGAGACTAAGAAAATCTCTTCCTGCAGCCTGTTCCAAAGTACAAGATCTTTAAATATTAGAAAGCAACGTAATGCCTGAGTGCTCAGACCCATGGAGACTTCATGGCTGACCCTATGAAAAGTGAGCTGGGTTGCTGCAGATGCTGGTACCTCTGGGCTTCAGGACTTACTATGCTGAATGTCTCCTGGTCCAGATCATCATCCTCGTCCTCTCCGATGGGGACAGGTTCACTGCCTGCTGTAATATGGACAGGACCCTGAGATCGCTTGGATTTACTTGAAGATTTGGCATCACCACCTTTAGGCTTTAAAAAAGAATTACAGAAGTGACTGTCATTTGTGTAGTCTCGCTTACCCATGTCCATATCACACAGTGGGCAACGTGGGTGGCCACGAGTCACAAAGAAGGCAAGATGGAGCCCCCTGGAGACCCTGACACCAAGCCTACATGGTGAGGCGCTTCATCATCACTGTTCCCTCTTCTGTCTCTAAACCACCCAAATGTAATCTCAGCTCCAGCGAGGCTAGTTTGACTTCTATTCCCTCATCTATAAAATGCACAAATGTCATCAAAAGGTTAAGATGCTTTTGTAAAATACTGTGTAGAAACTTGTATCATCAGCTTATAAATGAATTTATACTGACCTAAGAATGTGTATTAACTAAAATAACTTAGATGACTGAAACTGAAGAAATGAAGAATGAAGAGACAAAGAGACTTATTTTTAAAAAATGACTTTGTGTGTGGGCATTTAAAAACAAAACAATACTATGTTTTGTTTGTAATCACATAGTATTTTGTCAAAGTAGAAATAACATGAACAGGAAGTTCTAGACCAACTTCAGATTAGTGTGAGGGAGAGAAGAGAGAATAGTAAAATCAGGTGAAGTATCAGTGAGGAGAACATCAACAGTGTGTGAGTATAAAACACAAAGTATAGTGAAAAAAAAGAAGCCACTTAAACATGAAAAATGTTACCAACAGCTGTAAGACCTAGGTAGTAGATATAAATCAGTATTTGTTAAATCAATCTGTGCAAAATTTCATTTTGGCATATTTTAAAAATAGCATCCTTTTGTGGGAGCACAAAAATATGTCAAAGTATAATTTATAACATGAGATATTTGGAAGCAGTTTTGCTATGAGAGACCTAAATTGCTTCCAAGATGTTGTAACCAAATAAGACTTTTCCTTCCTATTAATATTTATTCACCTGGAAAACTGCTGGGTGATACACACCCCTCAGATACTCAAATTCACCTGCAGGTTGTGCTCATCTACCCTGAAGCTGAGAACATATTTTAAGTAGTTACCCGTTGCTACTGCACCCACCCTATCTCATTCTAATGTGCCCTGTGAGATACTCAGAGCCAATGGAGAACTCTGTATGAAACAACACCCCAACTGCATATTGTCCTCTCTCTGCACTGCATTCCTGACAGCCCCTCCTACCCTCGCGGACACACTCCTAAAATGACAATGCTGCCGAGGTCTTCACACCCTGCTCTATTCTAACCCAGGAAGGAACTTTTAGAGACCAGGAGTGCGGGGGTTGACTCAGTAATAAGAGAGATGGTGATACCTTTTCTTTCTTATCTTTTGACTTCTTCCTTTCCTTCTCCCCTTCTTTATCTTTCCTAGAACTCATTTGTTTCTCCTTGTTCTCCTTATTCTCTTTCTTCTTCTGTTTCTTTTTCATTGGACTTTTTTCTAAGCCATCATCCTAGAAAATGAACAGGGTTAGATAAGTTTTTGCCACAGATTTTACATTTACTTGTTTACTTTCTGGAGAAAGCAGCAGGGCCCCTGATGGCTCATCACCGCCCTCGGAAGCCGAGTTGCAAGCACACAGCCATAAGCACTTAACTCATGCAATTACAAACTTCCTGGTGATCAACAGTGCGGCCTGCACAGGCAGATACACGCTTCTGTTCCCATGACAACCCTTCACCACAGGCAGTATAGTTCCCATTTCACAGATGGAAAAAACAAGGACCAAAAGAAGCTATATTCCAGTCCACAGTCAGACAGCCACTTTGGTAAAGGTTGCTAGACCCTGACTTCATATGTTTGACCCAAATCTATGTTAATTCCTGTACCCCCTTGATGCTTATTTAGAAATACAATTATACTCAAAGAGCATAACAAAATCCCATTAAGCTGTCACTACCTAAGGCACACAATGAATGGCACCCATTCATTTTTCATGTTGCTGAGACCACAGGTTTCAAACCTGCCCACCGAGGGCCAAGCCTCATCAGCAGATGGATCACATCCAGTTCATCAATGAACTGAACTGGGGCGGCTGCCCCCTTTTCCTTCAGCAGAAGTTGCCTGTGAACCGCAGTTCCCCCACACCCTGTCCTTCCCAACAATGAGGCTGAGTGTCCATTGCTCTTCATCATTAAGATCGTTCCCTGTATTTACTTCCATCATCCATATATCTGCAATCACTGACTTGAAAGAACTATCTTGCTCTCTCACAGGTTAATACAAGACACATCTCTTCTAATTTCATTTATCTACTCACCACGTAAATCAAACTGTTTTTACTTCAGACTGTTTTACACCAGTTTGCATAGTAAACGCAGCTTAAATTATCACTCTCATCAGACACTCAGCCCCGTACCTTCACTTCCCCCTCTTCAGAAGGATTGTCTGAGTGTCTAGGAGATGAAAACTCAACTCCATGTTCATCTTTCAGCCGAGGTGCTTTGTTCTCCTTTTTCACTCGAGGTTTCCGCTTCTTTAATTTGGCCTAGAAAGGGAGAAGAAATGATGATAAAAGTACAAATCAAGCCCCACAAAAACATGATCAAATGACATGACCAATAGCAGCAGCTAAATAATTTTAAAAAGGACATCCAAAGGAGAACAAATTTTACCTAGGGAAAAAGGGACGTGTGCTTTTATGTAGCCTATTTACGCCTCAAGATATAATTCACAAAAAGGAAAAATACCTTATATACAAAAAATGCAATTAAATATTATATGAAAGAGTAACATTTTAAAACTTGGAAACACAATGTATCTAAAAACAAGGAAAAGGTACTCCATCAAATATGATACAGTAATCTAGAACAGGTGTGAACATCTCTCTCTAAGACCTAACTTGCATATCTACTTGACATGTTATCTCAAAGACAATAATAATTATGACACTGCAAAGTGAAAAATGACAGGATGCGAGGTTAGGATACTCGGGGTTTTCTGAAATTTGTTTTGCTTGTAACAGAGAATGAATACAAGCGGCATGGCCCTGAAGCACCCAAGGCCCACGCACGCACGAAGGCTGCTGGCACCACTATCTCTGGAGTATCTCCCAATGCGGTCTCCACCTCTTCAGGCCTGAGTTGAAATGAAAAGTTGGGCAAACAAGAGTGTGGGTGAGTCTACAGCCACTGTGATGACACTGTCATGAGCACTAAGGCGATCATAACTGAAGTCCAGTTTTGCTTTTTTCTTTTTAAATAGGCTCTGCTTGTTTTAACAATGAGGCCAGATTTTGAATTAACTATGGATTCCAATTTTATCCCTGGGACTCACTGTTACAAATCAGCCAGGAGCTGGCTATAACAACTGGCAGACCCCTGTGGCACTCATACAGTAACCAAAGCTATGCTCCAAAATTGCGGAAACAGCAAAAAAAAAAAAAAAAAACAGCAACAGTTTTTCTGGATCAGTAGTGCTGGGGAAAGAGCACTACTTTATTGAAGACCAGGCTTAGAAGAAAGTTGCCAAAATCTAGAGGGAATTAATAAATGAATTATTTCTACTATGCGCAAGCAGATTATCATTACTAGAACTTTCAATGCCACACCTGACTGGGCAAAGGTGCTGTCTGGAAAAGTATCTCCCCCCCTACCACACAAGGCTGGCCCATCGGGCCCATGAGAAAGGCCTGGCTGGTGGCCACACTCACCTCTTCCCCAGCAGGCATGGCCCCTTTCTTCTCCAGGCTCTTCCTGAGCAGCTTCAGTAGGTAGTCGGCACGGGTCTGCAGTTGCTTCCCCTGAGGTTTTTTATCTGTCTCCACCGGCAGGATCTTCAACAGGAGAGGAAGAGAAGCACCCGCCCCCACCCATGTCCCGGTTAGTGAATCAAGACACCAGGAGGCAACAATGCACTGTGCAGTCCTTTCCCTCCCCAGCCACCCAGTATCGATTAGGCCTCAGCTCCTATCTCATGTCCGTGGCTCCCAGTCACTGAGAATCCCTCACGAGCCGTTCTCGTTTTACGAAACGGGATGGAGAATCCAGCTCTCCCATGGCTCCTACCTGTGCTGTTAACAGGGTAGAACAACTCAGGTAGGAGGGGCTTGGTGGCTTCATCTGCTAGAGCATCCCAGCCGTCGTGGATTTCCTCCTTCCAGGAGCAGGGAATCCCTGGAGCTAGGTTAAAGCTTCGTTTTAGATTGAAAATGCTTCTTAGAGCATTGCCGGAGAGCACTGAGCTATGCCAGGACACGATGCGTCCCTGCTATCACAGCTGAACCTCTCGGGCCACATGGATTGGTCTTGATGCTTACGGCAGGGTGCTGCCACCCTCTAGGACACCACATGTGGGATGAGCACTGACATGGCATGAATCCTACTCAGAGGTGAGCTGCTCAGATACCCCTGCTTGGGGTCTCCAGCATGGCCTTACCACTGGTGACCTGATCTATGATAGACAGGGTGGGAGGCTCTATACTGTGGGAGAAGTACAGCCCGTGTTTTATTCCATTACAAAAATACCAAGGTAGGGCACTTTCTTTGTATGTAGAATTGAAATATGTTGTTTCAAGTGCAGTTTTAAATAAACAGCCAACAACCGAGGCCGAGGAATGCTTTTATTGCTGACCCTCTCACCATGGTATTTGTTGCAATGAGATTTGACCTACAATAAAAAGTGAATGCCAAGCTTTCTCCTGTAATTTCCCCAAAATTTCACCTATTATCTTCATATGTGAAGCTGTGCCACAGTCCATAAAGATGGCAACATTTCCAAGGACAAAAAATTCCTGGGAGTTTACTACTGTACTAATTTCCAATTTGAGCCCCACCCCCAGAAAATAATTAAAAATAAGTAATCAATATAAAAATATTATAGTCTAGAAATGTAAAAGAAATACATGGAAAAAAATAGAGAGAGAAGTATATATAGAAAATATAGTCTCCTGGAAATCTCCAGCATCACAGTTACTTACTTTGTCAGTTAACTTAAGCTCTGGATCCGTTTTAATTAACTCCCAGTTTCCATAGCCATGTTCATAAATGCCCAGCAACAGACGCGAATCATCTTCTACTCCCCACTCTACATCAAAATGGGCAGCTTTGACCCGACAGGTTAAGCAATATCTAAATGGATTTCAAAAATAAGAGGGTATTAATGGTAGGGCCTTTCTGATTTAGAAATGAACACAAATGAATATAGACACAGTATTCAATGTATTACAGGAAAAAGCTACATATCAAATTTCAAGTCAGTTTTCTTAAGGCACAAGCCCCACACAGGTACACATAAATCACTCACTTTTTTTTTTCTTCAGGATCCACAGGGATAGATTTATGCAGCATCTCAAACTCTTCTTCATGTTGGATAATGGATTTCACATTAACCTGAACCCCAGATATCTTGATTGTTGGGCCTCTCTTTTTCCCTGGTCCTTTCCCTAAACAACACCGATTTCACATTAGTGAAATGAGAATTTACTGTAGTTAGAAAACATGTAACAGCAAACTGTGAAGTCTTACTCCTTTGCTATATATCTCTGGCAATAAAGCAAAAATTTTTCTCTATCAATGTTTGTAAAAAACATATCTACACAATTCTGTTTTTTAGCTTTGGGAATTTTTGTTTTAACCCTTTAGGATTTATATTTCAATCTTCTTGTTTGTTATATACTCTGTTCCTAAAATTAATGAAAGAAGATTCTGAAGGAATAATATTAATCGCCCCATTAATAGAGCTCCTCCTGCCCCAAAGTGTTTTAGAGATGATCTTTTCTACTAAAAAAATATAAGGTCAAATTAATAGCTAACATATTTTAAATGATGAACAAAAGATGTCATGGGTAGATAACCCAACCCTAAATTGAAATAATTCTGGAAGTAAAATTAAATATAGTCAACTCTATGCAAAGATAACCAGCTGAAAGTCATGAGATAGTGAGACCTGTCTATAAGAAAAGGTCGCTCAGAACCTGAGAAAAATTTTCATTTTTTAAAACATTCAATTAGATGAAAAGGCATTACAATTATAACCCATTATTTAGGGGCCCATGGTAACCCATTAGAATTTTCCTTGCAAATGCTATCCCCAACCATACTCTGAGAGCTAGAGCACAATGTGATAAAACAGGAAAGGCACTTTTCTGAACATCAGCAATCTGGGGGTTATTCCTAAATCTTCACAAACTACCCCTTCTCGGTTTCTCTCTCTGGATCTTGGTTTCCTTATCTGTAAGTTCTAACTGCAACAAAAATGTGGGGAAAGAATTGAGAAAATTCACAGAAAAGGAAATACAAATTGTCCTGCAAGATACGGGAGACATTTACCCTTACTCATAACAGAAAGAAAATGAAAACTAAAATAAATACATGCATGTAACATTTTTAATTATCAAAGTGGGAAGATTTAAAAATCAGGGAATATCAAGTTGGTGAGACTAAGGAAAGATTCTTTCACTCAAAGCTGGTAGGAAGGTATGATGCAAATGGCATGCATGAAAGACTTACAACAGTGCAGCACAAAAAGCTACAAAACTAACTGCCAACTAACAGAACACTAGAATGCCTGTAGTGAATTATGCAGTTTTCTAAAAAAAGCGTCAACCAGTGGGGGGAAATATGAACCTTTTCTAATGAATGGTATTGAGACACACAGTAGCCAAATAGAAAAAATAAAACTGTACACACCAGGAAAAACTCCAAGGAGATCAGATATATAAAAATAAGTGATATCAGATAGCTAAAAGTTTGGGAATGGGGGCAGAAATCAAGGTGAATTCCTTTATACTGAAAATATTTTCAACTCAAAGAAAATATTTTCAACTCAAATCCAAACAGAGATGACTGTGAGATTGACAAATTTTTAAAGTTTTCTTCATTAAACATCATAAGCTAAGTAAAAAGACAAATCACAAACCAAGCAAAAACTTACAACATTTACTAGAAAAAGAGACCCTCAAAATTAAAATCAAATAGCTCAACAGACATGGGCAAAATATATGAATAGAGAGTTCACAAATAATTCTTAGAAAAGATGCATAACCTTGCTTATTAAAAAGAAAAAGTGAGATACCATTTTCACCTAAAAGCTGGGAAAATCCAAACTTTGAAAATACATTGTTAGTGAGGCTTATAAAAAGTACTGAAATACACTGCTGGTAGCAATATAAGACTTACGGAGGATAACTGGGTATTATCCATCCAAATCACCTATGCATCTTCCCCAGCACCCAGCAATCCAATCCCATACCTAGAAATCTATCAAAGATATGCTGACAGATACTGACATAATATAGTCACTAGACTATTCATTGTAGCTTTATTTATAATGGCAAAAGCTGAAAATAATGAAATATTCATTCCAAGGGGACAATAAACTATGAATTAACATCTATCCACCCAGTGAAAAACATTGCAATTGTGAAAGAAAATAGGGATGACCTCTACATGATAGGGAATGATCCCCCTGTGACAATAAAGAATACATACAACACGTCTCTCTCTCATAAAAAAAATAATAATAATAATAACAGTAACAACAACTGAAAGATAAACTCAAAGTTAATATAAATGGTGACCTAAGGGGGAAGAAGAGAACAGAATGAAAGCAAGTCTCTTCAAGTTATACCCTGACTTTGAACCATGCTAATATTTTTACATAATATAAAAAAAACAAAGTTAAATTAAAATGAGAAGAAAAATCCCTAAAGATAGAAAATAAATAAAGACTAGAGGCTACACTATGTATTAAGTTCGTGACATAACCACAGAGAAAAAGTACTACAAATAATTTAAAAACACAGTATTTGACTATACAATTTTTTCGCTAATGGAATATATCCAAGGACAAAAAGAAATCACACTGAAAAGACATACTATTAACAGTAAGATTGACTTTAATATTTAAGAAAATGTGCACAATGTATGTTAAGACAAACAATGATGCTAACAACTTTAGGAATAAAAATTTGTGACTTGAGAAAAAAGGTTATAAAGCATCTTACATTTGAATTGAAAATACCAGCCTGGTCTCAGAATACACTAAATCACAGCTCACAGAAAATACAGGAATAGGGAAATACTAAGTGATTACTGCCAGGAGGAAATAACCAGCCAGGTCCAGAAGGAAAAGCACAGAAAGAAAGGAATGTGGAGAAGGGAAATTGTTAAAGAAAACAGCTCTAGGACGGTGCATGTTGCACTACCTTTTTTTTTTTTAAAGATTTATTTGTGCATACAGAACTGAGGTACAGGCCAGAGGTTCAGGGGCGGCAAGAGGCTTCACCAGAGACAGAGTGGGGAGCAGAACAGGCAGATCAACGAAGTACTCTCTGAGGGGAGCAGCGGGAAGGTCAGGAGAGGTCTGCAGCGCCCTGTGGGTCTCCTCCAGGGCAGGCGGGGATTGAACTCATGCGGAAGTGGCCTTAGCTTCTCAGTGCTGCGCTTTAACCTGCTGCGCCACCAGGGAAGGCCCCCATTTTTTTTTTTTTAAGATTTATTTATGTATACAAGAACTGGAATGTAGGCAGGGGTCCTGGGGTGATGAAAGGATTCACCAGTAACAGAGCAGGGAGCAGAACAGACAACTCTGCTGAAGTACACTGCTGAGGGGAGACAGGAGAGGTCCGCTGCACCACTGGGGTCAGCTCCCTGGCTGGGGATCTAATTCATGCTGCAGTAGCTGGTAATAGCTTGACAGCGCTGAGACTTCAACCCCTGTACCACCAGGGGGGCCCATCATTTGTGTAAAAATGGGGGAAAAACAATATTTATTTTTTGTATGTGTATTTTTATAATTCAGGAAAGTGACAAAAATTAGGAATACCGGCTTTTCATTTCTGAGCCATAATGGCCAAAGCAATTACAATGTTTATTTTTGGGTGGATTCTGGGTTCCAAAGAAGCACATATTCAGACCACTATCCAACCCACTCAAGCCATCTAAGATTCTTCCAGAAAAAAAAAAAAGAAAATACAGTACAAAATGATGTAAAAATAAACTGTTATATAAAAAAAAATTAAATTAAATTAAAAAAAGAAAATACATCCAAATAAGTGTTGACACTATTAAGAGATTTTTGAATTCTATTTCTTTTAACAATATCCTTTTTTAAAAACTCCCAAACACAAATGCTTCTTTACTTAATGGTCAAAGCTAACTCTGCAAGCCAGACACTATGCTAAGCATTTCACATATCTGAAATTAATCAAGTAACCAAACCCTTTGAGGTAGGTCCTATTTCTCTATTTTGCAAATGAGACTCTAGGATGGGGTGGTGCATGGGAGGGCATAGGTGGTTATTTCAGATCTCTTTGCAAAGAAAGAGCAGAACCAGAGGAACCTACTGACCACTTCGCCTCTGCTGACAGAGCCTTTTGGAGGGGGAAGGGTTGCAATGGGGGAGGAGACCCCCACAATAAAAGAATGGGGGTATTGGCACAGACAAACCAGAGTTCAGGGAAAGGGGACAGCACCGCCTCCATTTACTTGAGGTTCAACAGCAAGAGTGTCTTTTAGCAATAACTACTTCAAGATTTAATAGCCTGAGCACCTCCTGCTTTGAGGACAGGCAAAAACTCTCTGAGAGAGAACACACCACCAGTCAAAACCAGCTCCAAGTTTTAGTAATATGGAAATCTCACTGTAATAAAAATATGTATAACATTCATCCAGTTAGTTCTCTAACTCCCATGAGCTCATCACAACACAATATGTATAAACATATCCAAGCTGATTACTGATGCTCTGGTCTATGAGGCCCTCGACTACAGTCAAAATACAGGAAAAGTGTGCTCAGCTTCAGTGGTTGGGTCTTCCATCATTCAAACCAATTAGACTTTCTCTAGCGACATAAAACATTCACCCTGTTCACCCACTGTAATTGTACTCTTAATTGAGAATGGGTGTTGTAATGAGCTCACATAAAGATGGGTCAGAACACACACCTCAAAGGGTTCATATGTCTGGGCCCCAAGTCTATTCTAAAGCAGCCCTTTAATGGTGCTAAACGACAGGTTTGGGAGAATCAGTGGAGACTTGATACTTACCCTCACTGGCATTTTCCTTCAGCTGTTCTTCATATTCCTGCATTGCTGACACACAACTGTTGTGAATCAGTTCACCCAGGCGTTTCAGATCTGCCACAGACTTATCGACCAGCTCAGCATCGCGTGCTATGCACTCCAGCCTGCAGAAGATCAAATAATGGGACTCATGAGAAGGCTTGTGCTATGCTATGCCCCTCTTTCAATGTCTCACTGACGAGAGACTACTCCTGCAAAGACACCTAGCTACACTTGCTTTCGTAGGCTGATCCAAACCTTTCAACAGTGACTGAGGACTAACTTACTCATTTTCCATTATAAAGAATGTACCTCACCCACAAACAAGTCAAATCAGCTTTCCTACTACGTGAGCTGTCTGGTAACTAGCGGCAAGAAGGACCAGGCACCTGGGCTGCTTCTGGGTGGTCACTGTCCTTCCTTCCCTACCATTCCTCATCATAATGCTCCTAGAAAGAAACCTTCACTATGTGTTTTCTCTCCAAGTCACATTGAGATGAATGTATAAATATCATGCTGTCAAAAGATGCCAGGCACATTTCACACACCCTGTTTACTCTGAGGCAACTATTCAAAGCAAGGTAGATCTACCTAGGGAGAGGCCCTGAGGTGCTGGTTCCACAGGACCAACTACTGCTGCACCTCATGACCTCTCCAAATCAAAAGACAAAGCCAGACACACAGGCCTGACATTCCCATCTACTCCAAAAGTTTACCAGGAAAGAAAGGATGCTATTTCCTTTAAATCAGTGCTATTATTTAGTGTACATATTGCTAATTTTGCAAAAATATCCAATTAGTTGAAATCACCTTTTGTTGAAAGCCAACTTCTGAACTCATCTTCTGAATGCTTATAAAACAGTAATGACAGCTAACCCTTTTGGAAGCAATTGCTAACTAGATGGTAATAAACACTTGTAACTGTATCATCATGAAAGCAATGAAGGAGAAGGCTGCAACACCACAAAAAGCATTTTGCCTTTGCCATTACCAGATACAGAATATTACTAGAATATAAGCAGTAACTACATTTATTCTTCTCCATCTGAGTTATCTGAACATTTCTTCTACAAATTATTTCTCTGTACTATGGCTTTGAATGTCCTGCTCCATTTCCTTCACTCAGGTAAAAATCTCTGTCCAGATGGGTCTTTCCCATCTCTGTCACTCTTCTCAGAGGGAAATACATGACAGGCAACAACGTATATTTCTAAAAGAATGTTTCCAGGAAAAGCAATATTCTTAGCACTGGTGTTACATGGAAGATAATACCAGAAAAAAGAAATATTTGCATAATAAAAGTGAAAAAGAGGCAGATAAGGAACTACTACCAAGCTTACCGTTCAAGAGGAAGACCAAACTTCTTATACGCCTTGATGAACCTAAGAATATGATCAATAAAGCACAGTTTAAAACAGATTTTAATCATGCAAATCACAACATATTCTGTGGTGATATGTGAGCCATGGAAAATCATCAAAACTAGATTGGGTACAATCTTAATGATTAGCAAATGCTGAATGCATTTGAAACTGGTAAACATAACCTAGTGAATGCTAAAAATGCATTCAAACACACTTAGTTACCATCATGAAACTGGTGATGATAATGACTTAACTCTAGTACTACCCTTTTGGGAAGGTTAAGTTTATGAATTTCAATATGTAAATAATGACTTGATCACACTCCAATAAAATTAACAGGTCAACAGGTCGATTCAGTTCACTACTGTTAACTGCAACTCCACAGTGCAGTTTTTTCAACATTTCTGGTTAATAATATAAGTAAACATTTTTTGAATTCATTCAAAAAATGTTTTTTGAAATGAGTACAAGTAAAATAAATATGATTTAAAAAATTTTAAGGCAAAACTATTTTAGAAACACTGATGCTCCTCCAACACAACCCTGTCGCTAAACAAAAAGGCAGCCTTTCCCTTCCGAAGTCTTTCCCTTAAACCGCACTACACATACCTGCCAACCACATCACTGGCTCCCTTTCTGAAGCCTACTAGCACTCCCACTAAGGAACAAGATGCCATAATACATGAGGGACTTCCTCGTCATATGCCAATTATACAATAATCCACACAGAGCCCTTAAGAAAGGCTGACAGAATAGACATACTGGCTCAAGGCAATCAAGGCAATCTCTGTCCAATCATTAGCTGACCATGAAGCTAAATGAGCAAAGCCTTCAAAAAATAACAAAAAAAAAAGACTTCCTAAAACAAGGCAGGAAGGTTAGTGAGTAAGCAAAGAACAGGAAATACAACAAACACTAGTTAATGAGACAGATCAGATTTCCAGACTTGCCACATTGTATCATTTAAAATATCTGGTTTTCAACCAAAAAAAAAATTTATGAAACAAGGAAATATGGTCCATATACAAGAGACAAAAACAGTCAATGGAGATGTTCCCTGAGGAAATTCAGAAGCTGGACATATTAGACAAAGATTTAATCAGTTATTATAAATAGTACAAAAACTAAAGGAATTCGTGTTTAAAGAACTACAAGAAAATATAAGAATTACATGCCACCAATAGAAAATATCCACAGAGACAGAAATGAAAACAAATTTTAAAAAAAAGCCAAATAGATATCCTGGAGTAAAAAGGTATAATCACTAAAATGGGAAAAAAAGGACAATCTGGCTGCGGCAATTCAAGCCCAGAGGTGAACTGACAAAAGAAAGAATTCACAGGATGGGTTGAGGTTATCCAATATGAAAGTGAAAAAAAGGAAAAAGGAAGACTATCACTCAAAAAAACAGGCGAAATTAAGATATCCTCAGAGAAACAATAACAAAGAACTTATTGCTAGTAAGCCTGCCCTAAAAAAGTAAGTCCAGGCCCTCCCTGGTGGCGCAGCGGGTTAAAGCACAGCACTGAGAAGCTAAAGCCACTGCAGCATGAGTTCGATCCCCCCCTGCCCCAGAGGTGACCACATGGCGAGCCAGACCTCTCCTGACCTGCCCGCTGCTCCCCTAAGCAGTGTACTACGTAGATCTGCCTGTTCTGCTCCCTACTCTGTCTCTGGTGAAGCCTCTTACCAACCCTATGCCTCTGTTCTGAACCCCAGCTCTCTATGCATAAATAAATCTTAAAAAAAAAAAAAAACTTTAAGAAAAAATTATTACCAGAGACACAAAAGGGCATTTTATAATGATAAGGAAGCCAATTTATCACAGAAGCTATTACAATCATAAAATGTAATACCGGCCCTCCCTGGTGGCACAGCAGGTTAAGGCGCAGCACAAAGAAGCTAAAGCCACTTCAGCATGAGTTCGATCCCTGCCTGCCCCGGAGGTGACCACATGGCGAGGCAGACCTCTCCTGACCCGCCCGCTGCTCCCTTCAGCAGTGGACTTCGTCATCTGCCTGTTCTGTACCCCACTCTGTCTCTGGTGAATCCTCTTACCCTCCGCATCCCTGGCCTGTACCCCAGTTCTGTACGAATAAATAAATAAATCTTTGAAAAAAAAAATGTAATAGCTAACAACAGAGCCCTAAAACAATGAAGGAAAAACTAACAGAATGGAAGGGAAAAATGGACAATATTAACTGAGAATTCAACATCCCATTTTCAACAATGGATAAATCAGTTAAGTAGAAGATATAAAGAAAGGGAAGACCTGAACGACGCTAAATCAAACAGACCTTAAAAACACCTAGAGAGGGGTCCTCCCCGGTGGCACAGCAGGTTAAAGCACAGCACTGAGAAGCTAAAGCCATTTCCGCATGAGTTCGATTCCCGCCTGCACCAGACGTGACCACCCGCTGCTCCCCTCAGCAGTGTACTTCGTTGATCTGCCTGTTCTGCTTCCCACTCTGTCTCTGGTGAAGCCTCTCGCCACCCCTGAGCCTCGGCCTGTACCCCAGTTCTATATGCACTGTATGCACAAATAAATAAATCTTAAAAAAAAAAAAAAACACCTATAGAGGCCCTCCCTG